GTGGCCGTGTGTCCCCCCACCACGTACAGGCAGTGATCCAGCTCGGCGGAACCGTGGCCAAACCGCGCCACCAGCATGGGAGCAGCTTTGGCCCACTCGTCGTGGAGGGTGTCGTAGACCCAGACGTCCCTGGAAGCGCCGTTCTCGGAGCCCTTGCCGCCGGTGATGTAAACCTTGCAGCCGATGGCGCAGGCGCTGCACTCCTTGCGGGGGCTGGGGATGTCGGCACGAGGGATGATCTCGCTGCTTTTATGGTCCAGCATGTAAATCTTGTCGCACATGAAGGTCTGGCCGCCGAGCAGCAGCAGGGCCTGGCTGACCTTGCGGGGCCGGGCGCAGCAGCCCGTCACCAGCCCGTCGTTCTGCAGGATCTTCATTTTGCAGCGCACGGCGTCGGCCACGATCTCCTCCCCCAGCTTGTGGCTGGTCACCAGCTTCTCGCAGGCCACCTGCTTCCTCAGGTAGGACTCGGGCAGCAGGGCCAGGCGCACGGAGCGCAGCAGCTCGGGCAGAACTTCGTGGCGCCGGGGCAAATCGTAGCGGATCCAGCCTATAACGGCTTCGTAGACCAGAGTCTCATCTTCCACCTCCAGCTCCTCGCTCTCCACCAGCTCCAGCAGCTTGTCTTTGGGCAGCCGGAGGAAATCCTCAGTCTTGCAGAGCGAGGTGAAGTTGGCCAAGGCCATCCTCCAGGACAGCTCCAGCAGCCGCTCGCAGCAGTGGGCATCGGACAGCAGCAGCATGTTCAGGCAGTTCCCCGGGTAGAGATTCTTCTCCAGAAAGTCAGCAGAAGCATCCCGGATATCCTGGAACTGCAGCATGTCCCCGGCCTCCAGCAGGGACTCGGCGTTCTCCTCGTTGATCAGCACCCGGGCTGAGTAGGCGTAGTCCAGCAGCAGCTCCAGCACCTCGGGGTGCAGCGAGTCGTGGAAGTTGACCTCGGCATCCCTGCTCTCCTTCAGGCCCCCGCTGAACATGGCGTTGAAGTAGCGGCTGCAGGCGGCCAGGACGGCGCGGTGGCACGGGAAGCTCTGGTTCCCTGCCCGCAGCACCACGTCGGTGAAGAGGTTCTGCTGGCGGAGCAGGTTCAGCTGGGTGAGGAGGCTGTCGGCGTGGCCCGGTTTGTGGAAGAGGTGGATGTTCATGGAGCCCGAGCTCGAGCGGGATTTCCGGTTCTCGTGGCTGCTGACGGACATTGTGCTGAGGCTGCTCTGCGGGGCAAAAGCGGCGAGTCAGCACGGGCAGCGCGGCNTGGAGGTGTGTGCCCGCGGCCTGGCCACCGTGCACTGGCTGGAGAGCCACAGCATCGGCCTCAACATCGTCTACCGCGACTACACGGCCTGCCAGACCTTCCTGTACCGCCGGCGGCAGCTCATCCACGGTAGGGGCGGGGGACTGTGAGAGGGTGTGGGGTTGGGATCTCCTTGAGTGGGTCTGTGTGCCAGGGTGTGGGGTTGGAATCTCCTTGAGTGGGTCTGTGTGCCAGGGTGTGGGGTTGGGATAGTCTTCGGTGGGTCTGTGTGCCAGGACATGGGATTGAGACCTCTTTGGGTAGGTCTGCGTGCCAAGGCATGGGATTTGAACCCTCTTGGATGGGTCTGTGTGCCAGAACACAGGATTGGAACTCCCTTGTGTGAGTCTTGGGTGGGTCTGTGTGCCAGGAGGTGGGGTTTGGATCTCCTCGAATGGGTCTGTGTGCCAAGGTGGGGATTGGAATCCTCTTGGGTGTGTCTGTGTGCCAGGGTGTGGGGTTGGGACCCTCTTGGACAGGTCTGTGTGCCAGGTGTGGGATTAGAACCCCCTTGGATGGGTCTGTATGCCAGGGCATGGGATTGGAACCCCCTTGGGTGTGTCTGTGTTGGGTTGGGACCCCTCAGGCTGCAGGTGTCCCCTCAGAGGCTCCTCTGCCCTGTGGGTGTTGCTGACCCACACAGAGCTCCTTGCCCTTCTTCTCACCTTGGCCGAGGGTTGCTCTCTCTCTGCTGCTGGTTTCCAGGAGGCCGATGGCAAAGCCAGGGCTGGGGAACACCAGGGATTTGTGGCTTTTGTTGTGTTTGCACAGGGAAGAGCAAACACGAGTGTCTGTTCACAAGTGTGGAAAGAGCACTTAGTGCCTCAGCCAATGTTTGTTTTCGGGTCCCTGATGCTGGGGCCGCGTGCCCAGCTGGCACGTTGCTCAGATCTGCTTCAGGAGGACAAGCCACTGGCATGCCACAAGCCATTCTTTGTGTGCTTGGCATGAAATGATCCAGAGCTCAGGGATATGGGATGTCTCACTGTCCATCCACTCATTAACTCTGGCTTTTCTTAGGAACATGCACGTCTTTTATCCTCCCCTCCAATAACAGGGTCACAGCCATCCCTCTGTTGCTTTTCCTCCCTCTTTCCCTGTTTCTTATGGAGATGGCTGTAGGATTTATGCTGAGGGCATTTCAATGTGTCAGTGGCCAAGTGCAACCCAGAATGGTGTCAGCCCAATCTGGCAAATGTAGATGTTACAGGAATAAACTGGAGGGATGGAAAGAGGACTTGAGTTGGCTTCCTGGAGGTTTTCCTGTCTCTGGACTGTACTGTAAAGGTAATTTTCTCTATTTCTGGATAACTGTGCCATGCCATCTGCTCCAAACACCTGCACTGCTCTGGAGTTTGTGTCTTTTGGCAGCAGCTCTTCCATGCTGTGCCTAAGGATGTCCCCTTGGCAGCTGCACCTGTACAANTGGGTCCAGAGGCTGGGCACAGAGTCACACTCACGCTGCTGCTAATTAAAGCTGTAAGAACTACCTGGATATTTTGCCTTTTTATAGCAGAGTATCACAGAATCAGAACATCCAGAGCTGGACCGCACAGGGATGATCAGTGCAGCCCCTGTCCCTGCACTGACACCCCAATAACCCCACCCTGAGCACCCCTGAGAGTTCATGGAGCTCTGGCAGCCTTGGCACCATTCCCTGGGCAGCCTGGGCAGTGCCCAGCAGCCTCAGGGGGAAGAACATTTTGAGTAAATCATCCTTTGAATAAATAAATTTGATTTCATGAGACAGGATCATGGCACTAAGCAGAGTCACTCCCAGCCAAGCTTTTGCTGCTGGACTTGAGATCCTTGTGGGTCCCTGTAGCTGTGATACTTTCTGAAAAATCTTTTCTTTAAGATTTTTCCTCCTGAGAAGCTGAGAAGCCTCAGGAACAAAATGTAAACAATGATTATCTGCTGCTGTGGAATGCAACAGGTGCATCTGTGATTGGTCTCATAGAGTTGTTTTTAATTAATGGCCAATCACAGTCAGCTGGCTCAGACTCTGTCTGAGACACAAACCTTTGTTGTTCATTATTTCTTTTTCTATTCTTAGCTAGCGTTCTGATGAAATCCTTTCTTCTATTCTTTTAGTATAGTTTTAATATAATATATATAATAAAACAATAAATCAAACCTTCTGAAACATGGAGTCAGATCCTTGTCTCTTCCCTCATCCTAAAACCCCTGTGAACACTGTCACAGGTCCCTTCCCACCTGGGATATTCAGTGATTCTGGCTGTTCCACACTTGCTGTATCCTCAGATGCTGCAGTTATCCCACCTGGTGCACCACATCCTTGTCCCAGTCTCGTGACTCACCTCACTGCAATCTGCTGTCAATCCCTTTGCCACTTCCTTACGTAAAATGAATAAAATTAATTATTTCTGGGACGTGAATCAGTGTCTTGATCTTTCATCATCGCTGCATTTGTTTTTAAAAGTTGTTTTACATTTATTTTTGGGAGGAAGGAAAGGATTTTGATCAAAAGCTGGGCTTATGCAACCTCAGGAAGGGATGTGGTTAGAGCTGGTCATGGAAGGCATTAAGAAAATCCTCCTGTGACGCTGCCTCCTGTTTGTCCAGCAGTTCACAGAGAGGTCCCTTCATGCCATGGATCTGTGTTTGAGCCATTTGATTTGCTAAATGTGGAACAGATCACAGCTGAATTGGTCTTTTCCTTGGCCCTAAACTTCTGGAGCAGCTCCATAACTGCCATATGGAGTGACGTTCCCATAACTGCCATGTGAATTCCTTCATTTGCCTCCTCACCCTGAGAGTTGTTTTCTGTTTGGGTGAGGGTTTTGAGCAAAGTGCTGACAACAGAACTGGCCTTTTCCTGTCACCAGGGGAAATGCACACAGGTATCTGTGACTGCAGAGCTTTCCTGGTGCTGCCTCCTCATTTACTGCCTCCAATTTAAGTTTTGTTTTGATTCCATCTGTCAGCAGATCAAAGTTCTGTCAGAACCACGCCAGCCATGCTGCAAAGGGACTTCCCAAAGATGTGCCACAGCAGGCCCAGCCTTAACAGGCTTTGATTAACCACAGGAGAAGTGAGTTTATACCCAGCAAAGCTCCAGCCTCCCTTTAATTCCCCTTGGAGTGTGTTCCTGAGCTGCTTGAGATGGACCAGTGAGCACCAAACCTGTCTGCTCCAGCCTCAGGTGGGAGCAGAGTCATAGATGAGAAATATTTTGAAGGCAGAGGAAGGACAGGCAACCAAATCCCCAAGGCTGGGAGTGCTGGAGGAGGTCGAAGGGACTCAAGTCCCCCCACAGAGGGTCAGAGGAGGAAAATTGTCATGGCTAGAGGTGTCCAGGCAGGGAAAACACCTCAGAGAAAGCTGAGCATGTGCCAGGTACCAGAGACAGATGATGCTGCAGCTGCCCTGGTGGGGTGACCCTGTAGATGACAATACTCAGATCCTGGGGCTGCCAGGCTCAGTGGTGCCATCTGCCCCTCTGTCAGCCCCATCCCAGTGAATTGAGAGCTGTTTTATCTCCTCAGGTGAAATGCTCTGCCCAGGAGGGCACAGAACCTCTGTGGGGCTGAGCAGAGAGGAGAGTTCACACCCAAACCCACAAACCCACTGAAATCCAACAGGCAAACTCCCAAGGGAGCTGTGTCCCCACGGGGACCCTGGAAGGGCCCTGTGTCCCCATGGGGACCCTGGAAGGGCCCTGTGTCCCCACAGGGACCCTGGAAGGGCCCTGTCCCCAGAGGAAGGTGATGTCCTCCCTCCTCCAGTGCATGCTGACGCACTCTGAGCTGCCCACACGGCGTGGGCTCTCAGAGCCATCCCTGAGCTCTGCTCTTGGCCCGGCTCTGTGTTGTCACAGGGAACATCTATTTCTCAGCTTGAATGAGGACACAAGGAGGTGTTGTGACAGCAAGAATAAACACGAGGAGATTAGCCCAAAGGCGTGGGTGCCACATCCCTCAGCATGGCAGGAGCCACGGAGAGCCTCTGGGCAGGCCTGGGGTGGAACAGAGCAGTGAGGACATCAAACACAGCCAGAGGCAGCACCAGGGCTGCCTGGGGGGTGGGATATTCCCTTATTTTCTGTTTGGATTTTGGTGTCAAGGCCTGCAGCCAAAGGTCAGTGAACAGTAGGACAGCGGGGCTGTGATGAGCAGGCTGTTTTCCCAGAGGTGAGCCCTGTGTTTTTGTTGAGCTGCTCACTCACATGGATTTCCTGAGTGCTGAGCTTGCACTAACTCTGTTTGGGATCGAGGTATATTCCAGAGGGATCAGTGGGGGCTGGCCAGCCCTGTCCCTTGGGGTTTGAGTGAGCAGAGTGGCTCACCTGAACTTGAGAAGCTTTTCTCAGCCTTTTCATGCACATGGCTTTGATTCCTCAGGACCTCTGAGCACAGGGTGGGGAAAATTTCACAACTGCTTCACTCTGTGTGTGAGCAGTGCCTGAGCCTCGTGCTTTCCTGGATGGATTTGACTCTATTTTTCAGGAATGAGACAATCCCTGCTCCACACGTGCTTCAAAGGAGCCGTGCACTCACATCTTCCAAGTGCACACAAGCACTCCCATCTGTCCCTAAACACCTCCAAACACCTCAGTTGCAACATTTGGTGGAGTCACAGGGACTTGCATCTGCTCCAGCTCTGCCCCATTACTTTGATGTGACCCGGAGGTGGCACTGCCACCTGTGCTGCTGCAGGAACGGGCACGGGGAGAAGTGCTGGAATCACCCTTGGAGGCACCAGCTGGCTGGCAGAGCTGTTGCTGGGAGTCCCTGTGATTATTCACATTCTTTTTCACGTGGATTTTAGTGCAACTTCAGACAGGGAAAGCAAAGCTGCTTTTTGGAGCTTTCTAAACTCCTCTCCAATTCCAGCAGTGCCCCAGGAATGCCTGAAGCAGGAAGGCCAAGCAGGCTTTCTTTGACTCCTCACTGTGTGA